TCTTTCCCTCAGTCTTCTTTTAAAGTAGTTTTACTTACATCTCACTTTATTGACATTATCTGTTTGTACTCAACCTCCCTAATTGGACTCTAAATAACATGAAGGCAAGGAGTGTACCTTCATAATTTCCAGTCTGCATTACCAAATTAGCACAGAATACATAGTCAATAAATGAAAAAAGACATAAACCAAATGGAACCAGGAAGCCTAGTAATTATGTAGGTAAATAGGTCCCTTCCTTCTGAACCTTCAGGCATGATATCTGGGAAACAGTTTGAGCAAGACAAATTTGGAATGAGTGAATTAGAGCCATGGTTGTGAAGAAAGCCTTTTATGATTGGAAGGGAACCACCAAACAATTTATGTAGGCTCAAGGAGTCACTCTGAGAAATAGTTCTGTTTCTTCTTCCATTTTATAAGGAAAATAGTAGGAAATAAAGATGAAGAGGAACTTTGAAATAAAACCTTATAAAGCAAAAACGATGCCCCTCCCATCTTTTAACTGTTGTTCACAAGTCACTTAAAAGTCCTCAGAAGGTAAATTAATATCTTCTCTTCTCACAGGTTATGAACAGGGAAGTAAGACTGGACTAGAGCCACCTATCAACAGACCCTGAAGCCCAGGTTCTGGAGCAGTCCACATTCCCCACAGTGCTTCTGGCCTTAAGCAAAAATTCACCTTGATATGAGGCTCAGACAATAAATAAAATAACCTATGAGGAACTGGAGCTGGAGTTTATATATATATTTTAAATCTTTATCTTCACTTAAATTTTATTCAATGCAAGTAATTTATTTCTTTACTATTCACATGTCTATTTTAAAATATGGCTAAGGAGTAGGATTGTGTGGTCCACATTTCCTCTGTTTGTGGTCTGCATGTGAAGAATCTTGACTGGTTAGTCATTGTTGAGAGTTTTGCTAGACTACTCAATAATATTGCTGCCCCAGCATCCATTTTGTGTGGCCAAGCAGTCTGCAGGGGACTTGAACTGACTGGCCCCCACCCTGTGAGTGCATGCCCTAGATAACACCATTACAGTCATAAGTAAATGTAAGATCCTGATATGACTACCCCAGCCATCTTTGGATAATTACTCTCCCCTGCCTGCCAAGGCCTTATCCTTGTGCACCCCTTAAATAAGATGCCCCACAAAGCTCACCAAAATCCCACTCTTTTTGGTTTGAATTAACCAATCTGGACTTAGCCAGGGAACACCAACATATTCCACATGTAGACCCTAATAAAGGCATATGCCCCAGGTCCTGACATGCTCTCTCTGCCTGTACCCTGCCTTGACCTCCTCTCATGGCCTCATGAGGCAAGCAGTGCACCTCCTCCAGGACCTGTGAGTAATAAACTTCTCTATTTCAATTCCTTTTCTTGAACTATGGCTCAGCAACCATATACCCAGGGCTCTACTTAACAAATGCTCATTTAACAAAGTCACAATAGTCAGACAAGTACCATTTTTCCCCTGAGGGCAAAGTCCCTAAAGAAAATAACCAGTCCCTAAAGGGGCTGAAAATCCAATCACTTAGAATAACTGCAAACTTCATGGTAACACTATAGATTTTTGTTTTCATTATTTCCTGCAAATAGTTATTATCTACTATGTGCCAGTTATTATCTACTGTGTACACTTCCCAGAACAGGACTAGCCTTGCTTACTATTTTTAATCAATAACAAGAATCCAAGACGACAAAAGTTCTTTAGAATCCTAATTAATGGCTTTGGTGACAAATGTTTACTATCAGAGATACTTGCTTCAGTTTCCACCAAACCTACACAATAAAGATGTGCACAGTAATTTTTATTCCTGAGGATAGAAAAAAATTGAATATTTCCTTCAAAATGTTACTTTAATCCATTCTACCAAAACATAACATAATGATACATTTTCAATAGCTCTTTACAAATTAAAGCTCTTTACAAAAGTCATATAAATACAGAGTCATTATTAAAGTAGAAGCTTAACACAAAGCAAGGGGAAAAAGATATTTCCTCTAAGGTAACTTGGTTTCATATTATTTCCAAAATAACAACAATTCCCCACAAATGTCACTTGGGAAATGCCCATGAGCACCAATATCAGAGGAGGTTATGGCTTTGCCCACAGAGGGACTTAAGTTTACACAGAGGAAGGAGGTTGAAAGATGGGGCCAAAAGGCAACTGGCCTCCTAAGGTTCATGTGGAAAGACAGCTCCAACTTTGTTTTTGTCAATTGCACAGGGAGGTGTATTTTTGGATAAAAGCAGGATTCCAGCTGTCTAGCCCAGTTCTATGAATCAAGGGGAGATTTACATGCATTGTCTCTGTGGCCTGACTCCCCAAATTTGATGTGGACCCCTCTGAGACACTGACAGGTAGAGCTTATCTATTCTGCTGGTGTGTGCTTCAGTTTTCCCTGTTTTAAATCTGTCCTTTACTAGATGAGGTCAGAGATACAATTCCCTGCCATACTAAATCAGTTATTAGTTTAGTGAGAAAATCAAATTATTTGTCTGTCTGGTAGACCAACTGTTCAGCTGAATTAACCAGCAGCTGGCAAGAGACAACAGCCCTTATCAATAAGCCAAATGTTGGCTGACTTGATTGGTTAGTTCTTTGACCACTGAATTCAGCTAAGAGAATGGCTCCTTTTCAGATAGCACCTAAGTCATTTCATGTCTTTCCTTGATTTTTGTTAGTGGAAGATATAAAACCTCTGATTATTTATTGAGTATTTGTGTTTTTACTTTACTTTGTGATAAGTCTCTTCTCTTTCCCACAAGCTTGTTTTATGTGTGTGTCCTGAGGGAATGGAATGCGTCCCAATTAGGAAAAACATTCAAGTTTGGAAGGGATGTTAAAAATCATCAAATCCAAATAACTCTCCAGTGCTTTAGTCTCTTTGTCTTTATAATTTGTCCTCTCAATATTTCCAATGAAGGGAAGCAGATGCTTTTCTTTTAGCATAAGAGCTCATCTACCTATAGATAGCACTAACTGGGCTGGCATACTTGCGAGGAAGGAGGGAGTGGAAGAGAAAGAGATGAAGAAGAGAGGAGGGGTGGAATGCGCTACAATTTATTGAGCCCTTACTCTGGACCCAGCTCTGTGCAGACATGAATCACAGACATATCATGTGATTTGGGGTTGTGGCTCTAGAGTCCAGCAGTGTGCATGAGCAGAGTTAACACAGGAGCGTGTTAGCAGAGTCCACATCTCTACCTTTTAAAATAATATCCTTTTTTGATTTCCTCACTTCTGAGAGGGAGATAGAGGGAGAGATAGTAGTTGTATATTAGGGTCAGAGGTGGGGGATTAGTATCATCAACCTCTGCTGCCCTTAAAAGCTTCATCTTCTCAGACCTAGAGGCAGCAGAGTTGCTCTTCCCTTAAAGGTTATAAAATGATTTTGCTCACATATATTCTTTGTTGAGCAGGAATTTGAATCTAGGCCAGTTTAATTTTAGAGCCTGTGCTCTTAACCAGGCTCCACTGCCTTTCTAGTCAGTTATCTCATACCTTTCCCCTGCTTTCTATTCTCTATCATGCCTTCCTGTACTGCATCAAGATAGTGCAGCAGCCCTATAATTGCCTGTAGAGGGAAAGTAGTGATTTCCTATGCACATATCCAAAAAATGTTAGATTTATTTTTAAGGTAATAAAGAAAGGACATAAAAGTAGCAGTGTGAAAGCAAGTATAGGAGACAGGTAGAGAAGGTTGTCAGAGTTTGTGACCCTTTATGGAATTGTTCCCTCACCAACTGACAAAGCAAGTCTCACTTTCCTTGAAGTTAAAACTTGGATGAGAGGCTTCCTTGTGGAACCGTTCCCCTTCCCACCTCTGTGAGATAATGCAAACTAACCATGTACCCAAGCCCCATGAGAGGCAATGTTCATGGTTAGGAGTGAGGGATCCAGAGCAAGTCTGAATCTCACCTCTTCCACTTTCTAGCTGATGACCATGGTTAAGTTATTTAGCTTCTCTGTGACTCCATCTGGAAAGTAAAGATAATAAGAGTACTCACCACATAGAGCTGTTGTGATGATTAAGTGGGTTACATATTTTCAGCACTTAGGACAGTACCTGGGATCAAGCCCTATCATCATCATTAGCAGCAACAAGCAGCAACATCCTGGAGTTTGGCTGTATTCTGTCAGACCGAAGCCTTCTCTCTGAGATCCCAGGTTGTTATTTGCACTTTGCAGGGGATTGAGAGAAGTTCTCTCTTTGTGCCTTCTCCATGCTCCACTGAATGGGCTCAGTCTGAATCGCCAGTTCCTGGACATCTTCTGGGCACCAGGAATTTTGGTCAGCACAGATTCCAGGTTAGCTCTGTGAGCCCCTTTGGAAAGCTGGAACCAGATCTCCACAAAATGGTACCTAGGACACTGGGTCAATTTTAAAATGGGATTAATGTATTGAAGGCTTTTGTATGATAAGAGATAGCAGGACGAGCTTAACTACTCACACAATTACATGCTCACACACTGCAGGATGTGGCAAAAGAAATGGCCACATTTCTCTGCTGCTTCCTTCTCACAACAATCACGATGGTCCTACTGTCTAAACTAACCTTCTGTGAACCCAATGAAATTGATCACTTCTTTTGTGACTTCACCCCTCTGGTCCATCTCTCCTGCATGGACACTTCACTGACCGAGACCATTGCCTATGCCACCTCTTCTGCAGTGACTCTGATCCCATTTCTTCTCATGAAAACCTCCTACTCCTTCATTCTTGCTGCTGTCCTAAGAATTCCATCTGGCACGGGCTGGCAAAAGGCCTTCGCCACCTGCTCCTCTCACCTCACCATGGTCATGGTGTTCTATGGGACACTGATTGCCACATACCTCATGCCCTCAGCCAAATCTTCCCAACTCTTGTACAAAGGATTTTCTCTACTTTATACCATCCTAGCACCCATGTTCAACCCCATCATCTATAGCCTGAGAAACAGAGACATCCATGAATCCCTGAAGAAGTGCTTGAGTAAGAAGCCAGGTTTCCTTAGATGATGCAAAAAGGAAAAGAACTATATTTGTTCAATGGTTCATAAACTGGATTGAGTAATTTAGAGTCAACATAAAAGGCAACTACCTAAACTATTAGCTACCAAAGACTGATGACCAGATGCCTGTGAGTATGGCTATGGACACTGCTGAATTCTGACAGTGAACTGGTGTCCCAGCAATGGTTTAAGCAGGTCAGATTCTGCTCCATTCTTCTCCAGGATCCTTGTATAGAAGCTCATCTCCAAAATGAGCTGGTAATTCTGGCCACTCATTTGTTCAAATACTCATTGAGGGTCTACTATGTCCAAGGTATTGTACAAAATATAAGTGCAAAATAAACAAAAACAGAGGAAGTCCCTGCTCTCACTAAATTCACAGTCGTGGGGGAAGACAAACGTTAATCAAATAACTAGTGTAAAACTACACATATAAAATTACACTTGTGATTCAAAATTAAAAATAATAAGATGGCTACTACATACCTATTAGAATGGTCAAAGTCCAGAATACTGACAACACCAAATGCTGGTGAGGATACGGAGCAACAGAAACTCATTCTTTGATAGTGGGAATGCAAAACAGTACAAATGCTTTGGAAGACAGTTTGGGCATTTCTAACAAAATTGAACATACTTTTACCATATGTTTGAGCAATCACACCCCTTAGTATTTACCCAAATTAGTTGAGAACATATGTTCACACAAAAAACTGCACCTATTTATAGCAATTGTATTTATAATTGCCAAAACTTGGAAGCAACCAAGATGTCCTTCAGCTGATGAATGGAAAAATAAAATCTGATACATAGACAATGCGATGTTATTCAGCACTAAAAAGAAATGAGCTATCAAGCCATAAAAATACATGGAGGAAACTTACATGCATATTACTAAGTGAAAGAAGTCAATCTGAAAATGATATATAGTGTTTTATCCCAATTATATGATGTTCTGGAAAAGGCAAAACTTTGTAGACAGTAAAAAGATCAGTGGTTGCCAGTCTTGCACTCAAGACTTAGAAGTGGGAAACAAAGATTTGGGGAAATGAGGGCTAGGCAGAGGACCCATGATGAATCTATAATGCTCTATCTCCCCTGCTATTATGGTAGCAGGCTCAGTTGGAAGCTGGGACATTGTATTTATTGAGTTCAACCTCTTCCTGCCAGGCCCTCTACCAGGCTCTTGCCTGCACTTGCTCCCTCTCCTACTGGCACATGTTCTTAGTAAGTTAGAACATAGGGTGTGGTGGGCATGTGTTTTTTGCTCTTTGCAACTCTAAAGAGCTGAGTTGACTTCTGAGTAGAAAAGCTGAGGTCAGCATTGCACACTCAAATGTTGCCTGACTTCTTTTCTGGCTCCTACAAATTATGCGCCCCTAGTGCTGAGGTTAGGATTATCTCTTGCCTAAACTTTCTTCTGAAATATTCTTCTTTTCTTGAGTTAAGCAAAGAGATTATGTTCACCATGCGTGGGAGTTACTCAGAACCTTGGATGGGACACAGCACATACGAGACTATGCTGGGTATCTGAAAACATTCTCAGACCTTGCTTTATGAAGAGAGAATTGCCCTCTTCTTGCTCCTCTTGTAAACTAGGAAAATATTGTGTGATCATCTTAGGATACTCCCGGTAAAAGTAAAACTTGTCAGCTTTCATTTATCCACAGGTGGCTCATTGGGAGCCAGAGTTAATGTCAGACTAGCTCTGCGGGAAATTGGATAGGAGAGCAGGCTTTTGTGTCATGGGAAAGTTTTTAGTTTTAGCTCTGCCACTTTCTTGTAATGTGCTTTGGGAAAGTTACCTAAACTCACCAATTTTAGTCTTTCTCATCTGTAAAGGAGGACATGCCATGCCCATCTCACACTGTCCCTAAGTGAGAACATGCACTGTCTGTCTGGCCCATAGCAAGTGCTCAGTAAATGGTAGCTCTTGTAACTCTTCTTCTAGGTTCCACCTTCTGTACCAAATCCCAGCCAAAACTATTATGTAGTCAAAATTCATTTTGACATTACAAAGTAATAAATATTCAGAATGTTTAAGGCCCAGAGAGAATGTATGGATTACACAACATCTTCTTCACAAGAAGTGATCCCCTAAGGGATTAAGTGGACTTTCCCCAGGTAACACAGACTAGAATCCAGAAATTCTATATCTGAGTCCTGTCCTCTGTACCCTATACCACACCACCTACCAACTCCGTAGGTTTTCTCCTTGCCTAGGGACACATAAGGAACATTCTTGTATATGCCAGCATCACTGTTTGGTTATACTTGGCTAGGAGAGAGTGTAGTGTATCACAGCACATGCCAGAGCCATGGAACTCCCCCTCCAACCCCAAATCTTACATTCCATCTCCTACAAGCCTGAAGCTCCACTCAGGTAACAAAGCCTCAGAATGTTTGTGGCCAGCACAACTGCCATCAACTGGGAGAAACTTCTCCACTACTACTTCTGCAGGAAGCCACAGCTCTCAACCTCTCAAATGGGGAAGGGGACATTCTGGGGGTAGAACTGGCTTCTTATTTCCACTGAGACATGGCAATGAAACATGAAGCCTGGGGAGTCTCTTCCAAGTTAGTGAGGGCTGCAGGAATGGAGCAGCTACAGCCCTGCTCTCACGACTGAAAATAAGCCCCAGTACTGCCAAAGAACCCAGGAGTCTCATCTTACCCAAACCAGTGGTTTTCTGACCTTAGAGTTGGGCAAAGGTGCCTGAGAAGCCACCAAAGGTGAGGAAGAGGTTGAGCAGTCTCTGAGCCCCACTTCTTCACTCATTGAGCAATTCTGTTTTGATGTATCTTATTTATTTCATTTAAAACTTCATTTGAATAAAGACTTTTGCTGCTAAATATGTGTACACACACACACACAAACACACACAATTTTTTTTTTTTACTAGACCTTTCCTTCCATTATAGCTTCCCTTATTTTCCTTGCTGGAAAAACATACAAAAACATGAAGGTCATGTTTGGATTAGTTTACGTCCCATAAAGTCAAGGACAGTTGGTGTGCCCTGACTAAGAGGACAAGACAGAGAAAGTATTTAGAGAAGACCACAGCTTCTAGGATGATGATTTCTGCAGGAAATTTTGTATGTCAATTACCTGCACTGTATTTTTTAAGCCTCTGAATCTCTGTAACTGACTTCTACCAGGTTGAAACAACACTTGTCAGTGACTTTCCCAGATTTATCAGGGATGCCTGTCCTTGGGGGACACTGGACACCTCCAGGTAGCATGACCACACCCTGACATATTTGTGCCTTTAGGCTCAGGGGTGGGTTGGTCTGCAAAAGAAGACTTTTGTCACTCACAGACTTAGATTCCTTCTGAGGAGAAGTGAAGGGAAGGTTACACGATGACCTGTAAATTTCTGATTCTTGTCCCAGGGTTGTGCAGGCCTTTACTGGTAGATGAGAGGGATATAGATGTACAACCAACTAAACGGAGTCAGAAGAGAAGGTCATAGATGCTCCTGCCATCATAGGGAGTAGCTGTGTTTCCACAGAGACCTGCCACCCTGCTCTCTCTTATCTCAGGCAGGAGGGCAAGAAAGCCCACATACAATCTTGGTGGTTTCTCACTGGTCCACACCTGCTCAAGCTCAAAGAATTTGGGACCTTAGTAAGAGAGAGTTACAACCTTCAGGCAGAAATCAAGAGTCTTCAGCACAAGGAGTCCACTCCTTGTGCATGCTTCTGGGGTCTGACCACACCCCTAACCACTGAAAGAGTAGAGGGTTGTGGTATCTGCTTAGTTCTTTCTTAGCTGAGAGACCTGGGGCAAGTCTCTTCAGCACTTTAGGTTTTAGGCTCTGAATCTGAAAAATTGGAAAAATTGGCTAAGTGTTTTCTAAGGAATATGCTGAGGATAACAAGTAACATTCATATCATACTTTAAATTTTATAAAGCTCTTTCACATAGTTTCTCATTTGGTCCTCATTTGGCTATAAAGTAGAAACGATCCCCACAGCACAGATGAAGAAACTAAGATTCAAAGATATTAAATGACTTCCTTAAAGTATCTTTCTGAATGCCTTTTGGTTTCCAAACCTCTGTTATTTCCTTTACAGTGTACTCCTAGCTCTGAGTTCCATAATTCAGTTCTTCTCTTCTGGGTATGTGCTATAAACTGAAAGTGTTCCCCAAATTCATATGTTGAAACCTAATCCTCAATGTGATGGTATTAGTAGGTGGGGCCTTTGGGAAGTAATTAGGTCATAAGGGTGGAGCACTCATGAATGGAATCAGTGCCCTTATAAAAGAGACCCCAGAGCTCTCCATCTCTCCTCTGTGCCTTGTGAGGACACAGCAAGAAAACGACCTTCTATCAACCAGGAAGCAAGGTGTCACCAGACACCAAACCTGCTGGCACCTTGATCTCAGACTTCTCAGTCTCCAGCACTACAAGAAATTAATTTCTGTTGTTTATAAGCTACCCAATCTATGGTATTTTTGTCATAGCAGACTGAACATACTAAGACAGTACTTTTTAAATTTTTTAAATTTATTTTTTATTGAGATAACATTGGTTTATAACACTATAAGTTTCAGTGTACAGCACTGTATTTCTACTTCTACAGCCCATATCACTCCTAGGCCCTAAATCAGGTAGGCATAATATATCATAGACATTATTTTAAAAAGTGCCAGGCACTTCCCTGGTGGCACAGTGGTTAAAAATTCGCCTGCCAATGCAGGGGACACGGATTTGAGCCCTGGTCTGTGAAGATCCCATATGCCGTGGGGTAACTAAGCCCGTGGGTAAATGAGCCTGCGCTCTAGAGTCCACAAGCCACAGCTACTGAGCCTGCATGTCACAACTACTGAAGCCCACGTGCCTAAAGCCCATGCTCTGCAACAAGAGAAGCTACCACAATGAGAAGCCTGTGCACCGCAATGAAGAGTAATCCCCGCTCGCCACAACTAGAGAAAGCCCGCATGCAGCAACGAAGACTCAACGCAGCCAAAAAAAAAAAAAAGTCCCAAACTTTTTGGCAGTA